ATGCTTCCTATCCTTTAGCAGAGGATAGGCTGGAGCGTCCTGTATTAAAAAACCAACATGACTGAGAAATGACGCAAGTCATCACATAATCTCCCGCGCTGAGCTTCGTTTAGGCAACGCAAGGAAATGATGAACTGTTACAAATCTGTCACGTCATGAAGATGTCTCCTTGTGTGAGACACTGTGTGGTTTAATGAAGTATCTCTATAAATAACCATAACTAGCTGGAATAAAATCATCAAAAACAGAGCGAGGGTTCTGGTGGAACATTAGCTGCATCTGCTTAGCAACGGCATCCATTAATGTGACTTCAGAGAAAGGTTAATAAAAGTGGATCAGCAAGAACTCTCTGTCACATCTTTCCTGGACCTCAGGACGTTTTCCAAGGAGCTTGAGAATTTCAATTTAAAATTTTAAGCATAAGATTTGGACCAGTTGTCACAAATACATATAAAAGGTCCTAAAAAATCTCTTCTGACATTAAAGCCATCTGTTGTTGCATTCGTTCGTTTAAACCTGCTGTGGTAGAGTACAGTGAACATGGTGCTCTCACAGGCTCCACTTACGTGCTACTGTGAACCCTCAAGCAGCCATGCTGCCTTCCATCAGTGCGCTTTAAACACTCTCGTGGTCTGAGAATCGGTGTACGGCAGCATCAGCACCGTTGCATAATTTGTGTGATGCAATATTGCAAAAAAAAACCGGTAGTGACATGCATCATTACAACCTTGACCAGCATGTAAGAGATTATGCTGCCTACAGCTGCAGCCAACTACAACCTAAACACACCTCTGTGAGCGTGCCGGGGTAAAAGGCAACATGTCATTTCAACAAATTCTTGTTTTTCCACATAAAAGGATAAAAGTACTTTTGTTTTTTCCTTGCAATCACATCAGCTGCTTGTCAAGTAATAAGATTTCTTTCTCCAGCTTCCTCATTTTAAGTGCTCTATAAGCCATCTCCTGGTCCCGGTTCTCGATCTCCTTCTTGAGGTAGGAGCAGTAGAGAGACCTGAGGTTTTCCGTCTGCTTCTGTGAATCAGATGACACAAAACATGCGCTCTTGTTGCATTCGTTTCTTCTCATTAGCACAGGACAGCTGTGACAAATGGACCTCACCTCTCCGCTTCTGCCACCAGCTGTGGCGCCAGCTGCGTTGGCGCCCTCCTGCAAGCTGCTGCCGAGAACGTCCTGTTAAAAAGAGCAATCCAGTCTTCACGCCAAGTACTCACAGGCAAAAGCTCCAGGAGATGCACGCGCAGCAGTACTCACCCCCTCAAACTGAGTGTCACTAATGTCCGTCTCGTCGCTGCTGAGGCTCTCGGGTTCAGTCTTTGTTATGGGCAGCAGGAGGACAGGGTGGCCCGACACTGCAGCAGCGAAGCAACATTTAAATGAGCCAACGTGGAAACCTTTGCAGGGATGCTCATGAATTTCACCTACCGCTCATGAAAGAGCTGTCAGACACAGCGGCTGGGTCAATACAGGCGCCTCCAGGGAGAACCTCCACCCTCAGCCCGTTGTCTTTGTGATGCGGCACGTCGTCCTCACCCGAGTTCAGAGACGGGGTCGCCGAGCCGCCCTCGTTTCTCATCATTGCAACCCTTTTCCTTTTTGCTGCACAGGGACAGATTTGACAGGTACGTAACACACCTGGACTTTACCGACTCTGAGCCAGTGCAGGAAGAGAAACACTGAATGTTATACAGCTCCGTCATGCTAGTGCATGTATGTGCATAAAGCATTTTAACAATGCGGAGAGTTCATAAGCTCAAAGATAATAAACTCATTCATTTAGACTTAATGATTTGCAGAAAACCTCTTTTACAAAGCAACTGCTGACTCGCTGAGATCAAAACTAAGACAAAGTGCTTGCACCTGTTTGCACAATGTTCTTGTGTTTGACTTTTACTTGCTGCCATGTCCTTTTGTAGCCACTGTCTGAGACCCTGTGAAGCAGGAAAAATAAAGATGTGTCAGTACAGACTGCAGGGGTCTATATTCAATAATTTGAATATAGGTCAATCACACTCACACGAGTGAATAAATGTCCTTACGCGTTTATTTTATCAGCAATTCTCTGCCAGGCTTCCTCTCTGAGTTTCGAGGCACTGGTGGTGTTGGACTTAGCTGTTAGTATCTCTCTCTCCTCTTCATACAACTTCAGAATGAGCTCCTGCTCTTTGGAGCTGAAAAAATGCGCCCTCTCCTGTTTCCTCATTATCTGAAAATCTGTTTTAAAATAACACAGAAATATAAATGTACTATAAATGTACATGAATGAGAGTCAAAAACCACGTGATGATTGTTGTTGGTTTTGATTGTTTTTTGGGGTTTTTTTGTTACAGTTTATGTGATCTTGCACAAAGTCTCCTCACCTCCGTCTGCGTTCATGGATTTCGATCCGGGTTTCTGCGTTCGACTGATCTTCCCTTCGTGGAGGAGCGGGGACGCGCAGTTATCCGAGATGTTTCAATGCTAGATTTAGTAATCAAATCGTAACCCGCGGTCGCGAGACGGAGTAAAGCCGAGCTTGATCGATGCCACGGTTAGTTACGGCACGAGTCCCATCATCAGTTAGCCTCGAAAAAACCAGAAGCGGGCAAAGGTAAACGGTGTCATTGAGCTGTCTATCAGCGAGCTTTGTTAACCCTGGATTTTCTAATTCGGCTTAAAGCGCGTTCACGCGAAAGAGGTGGAGTCTGTAACAAAGAGCGAGTCACGTGCGCGAATCATCACTGATAACGTTAATGGTTGTTGGGTCGGGACAAGCTTACAGAGCTGGTTTATAGACACTGTGGAAAACGTAGGAGTCATGTCGGGTTTTGGGGGTTGGGGGGAGGGGGTGGGGGTAGCCACAGACTGAACGGGCACAAGCCTGACCCAGATTTTACTGAGTGTAACAGAGGAAGACAGGTGTGAACAATACACAAGAGCTGCTTCAGCGCTGGAGTTGCAGGCACTCCCTCAGCAAGACATCACAAAGCTTTTACTGGGGAAAGCTCCTCTATTAGGACTTGTCAGTGTCTGCTATGAACAGGGTCTATTAAGATTTTGTGTGTGATCTACAAGAAAAAACAAACGATATTAAACAATGATGGCTGCATAGTGTAGTGATTCACGTGACCATGAAATCAACGTGCTCTGCTACCTATCGTGACTAAGGCAGCTGATGAGAGTAGCTTTATATTGAAGAATGATAATTATTTACAAACTGTAACTCCTGTGCTTTGTGAGTATGCCTTTTCAATAAAACTGCTGTTAGTAATTAGAAATTAGATCCAAACCTCTCACAAAAAAGGTTAAAATCTGGCCAGAACAGGCCGTCTCTGTGACAGGACTGCTTCATGGATACCGACTGGTCACTGTTTGAGAGCAAGAATGAAGAGAAACATACTGAGACTGTGCTGTTCTATTTCACTGTTTGCACTGGCAACGTTATTGTCGCAAAATACCGCCAGCTTTTCCCCAGCCAGGATGAGTGACGTGCGGCTCCTCCTCAGAGTCTGTAACAGCACCTACAGGGCAAAGGACAAGGTGCAGTACTCCAGTGCCAGAGCAAACCCAAAGCAGGGACATGTACAGGGTAAACAAACAACAGCCCAACTGGGTAATTCTAGTTATTTTCTAACTGGAAATAAAATGGGTCAAACTGCATGGATACATACAAGAAACATGAAGTGAGGTAATAGAAGTTACTTTATTTACGTTAAGTCAGACATTTTGTATAATGGTCCAGAACAAAGGAGCTATTGGTTCAGGTGCCCTGTGTTAAGAGCACAGAGGTAAAACGATTAAAGAGGAAAGAGTAAACTGTGAATAGGAGTGTGGTCCAATAACAACTGCTTAACAAGGACTGATCCCATCTGTGACATCTGGAGGTTTGTTTTTTACTCGTGTCCCTCATAGCCATCAGGAAGAGGATTCACATGTGAGTTGTGGAAAAGACTTTTGTTGCCATCACCCCAGGGGAAACGCTAATGGGAGGGGAAGCATAAGAAAAACATAATTAAGTCAAAAATAATGTTGTTGTTGTTGTTTTTTTTAAAGGCAGCACTTAAAATTACAAGTCTCACGAAGTCAGACCTTGCTGCGAATGCGAAGATGGGCGTAGGGGACAAACTCTGGTTGCTCATGGCTGTGGTGCTGCTCCTTCAAGAATGTGTTCAACATGCAAACTCCAACACCTGGAAGGGCAACCACGAAGGTGAGGATCTTCCAGGTCTTACCTGGGGATAAGAAATCAGAAATATTTAACTAACAAGTAACAATAACAATAGAAAGAAGAGCAAAAGAGAAGTAAAAACGATAACAACGTGCTGACATCTGACACTGTTAGATCATATGAATGCCCCTGAGACAGTCGACAGAGCATGCCCTTGACCAGAACTAAATCCAAGAAATACAACCAGTTTAACTCACTAAAAGACAGTTACATTCAAATTGGGTCCAAATATACACCATATAAAAAGGCTCCACTGGATGCATGTTGTTACTTTCAGCTGTAAGATTTTTGATAAGATTCTGTAAGATATGACCTCACTGACTGAATAGTTAGACACGGTTTAAAGTCTCTCTTTTAAAAGACTGTCAATGCGAAATGCAAAATTAACTGTGCATTTATACAAGAACAGTTCAACTTCCTTGTATCTCCACAATTATTCAACTCTTCTCAATTCAGTTTAAAGCTGTCCTTTTCCTTCCAGCTCAAAACGCATGCCTATCCTCTCTTTATCTTAACACTCGTCTGCCGTTCTCGTGTTGAAATAAATACTTCCTTTACAAGCTGCCTGTCATAACGATTATCAGGTGTCTTTATGACTATCCTTTGATCTTTTGTTGCACTTTAGCTCGTAAGACATGCTGTTCGTCACACTGCTCCACTTTTAAATCATGTTAACTGACAGACTGCGCTGCTGTGAGACACAGACAACAACAAATGCAAGAAAATCACATGTTTCGGGGGGCAGTGACTACGTGCTCTCCTCTCAAGGATGCATTGCTACTGCTAATGCTAACGCTAGCTAGCTCAGCAAGGTCACTGGATCCAACATAACAGGTCGTCTTAAAGCCAAAACGAATTAAATGCAACCACTGGTGTAAAATAGAGTGTTATAATTACCTGACTGCTCGCCGTGTCCGGCAGCGGCAGAGAGCTGACGCCGGGTTTGGGTCAAAGAAGACCTCAGCAACACTTGAGAGAAACGTCCAAAGGCCGCCATTTTCCTTTCTGGCTGACGAAGAGACCGGAAGAGGTTTGTACACATGCGTGACGTAAAGGCCGGACAACTGTGAGCTCTGCTGTGTCACCAAGCGGTGAGACGGAGAACTGCAGCCTGCATTTCACATTAAAACAACACAGCTGTAACCGTGATCTGTTTTCTCTGATTTCATGTGGTG